TTCCCTCCAACTCTTGGTCCCCTCCCCATTTGCAAAAGATCTAGTCTTGTTTCCTATTATCTATCTTTTACTTTTCTGCTTGATTTATTTATACTTTGGGTTTCTCATATAAGAAAAACCAGGCAAAATTTAATCGTATGTCTGATTATGGTCTCGAGATACACCCATTGTCCCACAAATGACTCAGAGTACCCTTCTTTATAGCAGAGTAGTATGCCATTGTATATAAATCCCACATTTGCTTTGTCTATTTGTCTGTTGATGAACGTTCTGTGGCAGAACCCTTCCCCGGAGGAGTGCAGCCAGGCCCCTCCTGGAGGAATGCAGTGGAGAGGGAGCCTTCTCAGAATCAAGAAAGACACAAGCCTGGATTAGTACCTAAATACACATGTACAGTTCTAGCACTGCTCTGTAACACAGATTGTACCCAGTCAGGCTGTAGTATGTTAGTGTGTTATTGTTTATGGGAGACAAAAACACAAAAATTCTATAAAAGGCAAAAACCCCCCTGCTAAGTTTGGGGCTCAGCCCTTAGGGTATTAACCCTCCGAGCCCTCCGCTAGCACAAATAAATGCTTCTTTCTGGGAAAGTCCTCGGTGTCCTGCCTTTCTGTGAGAATCCTGCTACAATATAGGGTGAGGGAGCTACTTTCTCTTTTTTAATAAAAAAGGACAAACTCAACCGGTACATCACCCACACTGGCTGGTCATTATCACCTAGAATCCAGTTTACAGGAAGACTCACTGCTATATATGCAGTGGGTGTGGACAAACAGAATTAAATGTATCTACCATTATAGTATTAAGCAGAATACTTTCACTCCCCGAGAGGTCCTCTTCATCCCTCCCTCCCCATCCCCTGTCAACCACTGATCCCTTCATATGTCCTGTAAGCGTTTTCTTTTCAGAATGTCCATAGCTGAATGCATTCCTTTTAGATTAGGTTCTTACACTAATAACTCACATTTAAAATCCCCTCATGTCTTTTCATGTTCTAATAGCTAATTTCTTTTTAGTGCTGAATAATATTCCACTGTCTGAGTACATTAAAGTTTATTCATTAACCTACCAAAGGACAACAGATTCCAAGTTATGAAGAAAACTAACATAAACATCTGCATGCTGATAACGGGCCTAGAACCTGGGCACGTGGGTAACTAAAGTAGAATGAAGCCTGGCTTCTCTGCTAAACTTCGCACATAGGCATTTTAAACACACAGAGTGTCTGTATTACAAGGTTTATTAACCCTAAATGTAGTTAGTCTGTCTTTCTCACTTCATAACCAAGGACATCAAGATAAGAACAACTAAATGATCAGGATTTTCAGGGCCATCCAATTGCCAGCTTTTATAATATCCACCTCCAGATGCCCTGCAGTAATGCCTGGAAACCTCCAGTCATTCTAAACCCGCAGTCACCTCTGATTCCAGGAAAATCAGACTTTCGCAGGTCACTCAGTGGTAAGATCACCCTGGAAGCAGAAGCCCCCTGGCCCTCCCACAAACAAATCCCAGCTGCTAACAAACCATTCAGCTATGAACTCATCAATGGGTGAATCCAGTGAGAGCCCAGCACCCCCAGGATCCAGTCACCTTCCAAAACTCCACCAAAACACATGAGACTAGGGGAAATGTGGCTTCCTAAACAACAGAAGCATGTGACTGCTAGGCCATCGCTTATCACTTTTGTCCTTTGCCTATTGCCCTTGGTTTCTTCTGGACCATGAGGACAATTCCTAGAGGAAGAGAAGCCCTCCATCACCTGGGACAAAGGCAGCCTATACTAAAGAAAGAGGCTCTGGATCTGGAAACCAGTGGAGACTATTTTGGCTTCCTTGAGTAACTACAAGAGCCCTGGACCTGCTCACACCAGACTTTTTGTTACATGAGAAAGAGAAACCCCTTTTGGGTTGTGATGTGGGATGATATTGGAACCTCCAAATATATAAGGGAAATATTATACCTCCCAACCTGTAAGACATCTGATATGCTGAGTTTGTGTTCTCTAAAATTGAAGAATAAATTCTAGGAACAGAGGTTAAGAGTAGGAAATATTTATTAAGAGAAAGAAAGCTTCCATGTAAGAGGGACAGAAAGAGATCCTGAGTGGGTGGCCTGAGGACCCCACTTCTCAGGGAGAGTTTAAAGAGCACAATGTGGGTTATAGTTACGATCAACCAATAAGATTATAAGTAGAACTGCTTAAGTAATATTGATCCAGTGAGGAAGTGAGTCACCTAGCGAGCAGGCATGGAAAGAACTGTCAGGCAGGATGGATCTGGGCCTTGGCTGACCATTGGCGGACTGATGCCTATCTAGGCTTCATTAGAGCAAGTTTCTCACTGGTCTCAGCTCTTGGGGAGTATGCAGGCCTAGACCTTGGGTTCTCTTGAGGCCTGGCCTCCAGCTGATGCATCAGGTTCATTTCCACCTTTTGTCTTGACTTTCTGGAGGGCCCAGCCCTACCTGACTATCTATAATATTCTACCTAACATAGCTGTCTATAATAGTTACACTATTATAATTTGGTTTTTTCCTAGCCAGGCTTTGACCTAGCTGGAATGGGAGCCATGATGTTCCTGAAATCACTTGGAATTAGTATTTCATGGATAACAAGTTTGGCTCTTAAAATGTCAGCATGGGAGCAACTGTAGCAGTCCCACCTCCCATTCATTGTTTATTTAAATTTAATTTAAATACTGAATCTCATACTTTTTGCTTAAAAGTGAATTTCAAAGAAAAGAGGAAGTGCTGTGATGGTGGCAGGGCGGATTAGCAGAGCCAGATCTTTCCCCATGAAGTACCCAGTAGGAAGGTGAAACACCATCTGCATTTGGAACCTGCTGGGCAGAAGATGTGCCCTCTGAGCAGAAAGAGAATCCATTCACTTTTATGAGAGGATTTCCCCTTCCTCTGAAAGTTCTAAAAATAATTAGTCTCAGTGAATGATTCTGTTCTGCAAAAGAACTAATTCTCTGCACAGCTGCTCATTGTCAGAGAAAGCCTAAGTATGGGAGGGAGGGTGATCCTGATGCTTCTGCAGAATCAGCTTCTAGAGCCAGAAACAGCTCGGCCAAAACCAGAGTCAGCTACTCCCTACAGCTCCCAAGAAGTGGGAGTTTTCACCTGGGTAACAAAAAACACAAACACACACACACACACACACACACACACACACACACACACACACGGAATTAGGAGACATCATCAGACTTCTGACCCCACAGGCTCGGTGCCATCATCAGGAATCTACAATGGCTCAGGTTCAAGAGAGAAAAGAGGGCCCAAGGCCAATGGGAGCACGCCTAGGAGGTGTTTTTGGAGCCCCAACGCTCCCTAGCATCTTCAGGGGCTCTGGGTGACAGTGGGGTCTTTTCAACAGCTTCAGTTTCGTTAGGACATGCCGTTTGATTAAGGAGTTCAATTTGTGAAATGTAGACATGATGCTGTGAGTATAGCTCAATGGTAGAGCACACACTTAAGATGTACAAGGCCCTGAGTTCAAGTACCAGTGCACCCAAAAAAACTTTTGTGTTGAGACACATGAAACAGATTATTTCTCTAATATAACATTATATTTTGCCAAATTCAACTTATCTTGTGGTCTCAAGACCACAAGATTCCCCCAAAGACACTTTACATCCCACTTAATAACCTTTCAATCATTTTCTGCCATTAGAATAGTTTCATTTAGTTACTAAGCTTTATTTTGGTCCATTTTGAAATCCCAATCTATTTTGACTCTCATCCTTGCCCCTACCTGGTCATGGGGACCTGGGGTCAGTGGTAAGTTGATGATGCTGACTACCCCGTGCCCGTGTCAACTTGGAGCCAGTAGGTGGGGATCCTTATCAGTAGGCAAGTACTCAGGGACAATAACCTTTGGGGCGGCATGCTGACCTTTTAAATGACTGCCAACACTTCTTTAAAGTATTTAATTTCATATAAGTTCCTCCAGGGAAATTTATAAGGAACCATCCCAACGTGCCAAGTTACTCCAAGTCATTCTTTTTAGGTGACCTAGATTAAAACTGGATCCATGTAAAAATAAATTTCCCTTTACCATCCACCTTTACCATTTTTTTGAACATGTGATATACAACTTCAAAGTGAGCATGCTCAGCAATGTGACAGCCTGTGCATGTGATGATGGATCTTTCTCATAAGAATATGTATACATTTCTCCAATAAAAGTCCTTTGCGTTTTTGTTCAGGGATACATGGCCCTGAGAATTATCCCCCTGTGCTCTCCTCTCCTTGCACAAGTAATACACCTTTCTTCACTCTTCCATCTCCTGGTGCTGCTACTGGTTTTGCACCACCAAGGGGCAAAGTCATCGCACTCAGGTACAGGGGAAGCATTTGTTTGTGATTTCTGCTACTTCTGATGGCTAAACATTTTCACCACTGTGGCTCTCAGGGTACCAAGGTTACCTCAGCCAACACAGAAGTGGGAAAAGATGGGCACAATTAGCTCTTGCAGGCTGATAATAGCAGAAGAGCACTTCACTCTCTCTGTTCTTGGGCCTGGTTTTGGGGTAGAGAGGACAAGAAGGTCAAAAACATTTGCACACTGAACAACTGTAGGGTGATGGAACTGAAGGCACTCTCCCTCTTTTATTGGTCACTGACCCCAATCTAACCTGGGACCCCCATGTCCTTCTGGCGGGGACCACAGCTGCAGACATCTCCCCAACCACTTACATTCACCCCATGGTATGGCTACCCTTTCTTGGTAACTTTGCCCTGACAAATGAGCTTGTTTGTCCTACTCTGAACCCTGACAAGCCCCAAGACCCTAGTTTTCTCTGGCCTCCTGAGATGGAATAACTCTGTGCCCTAGAACAGGGACCTGATGGGAAGCAATGGTGCTTTTTCTAGGGGTCTTTCCTCTGTTCACTTAGGCCAGCCTTGATCAACAAATGTCCCTATGAGGAGGAGACATTTAGCCAAAGGACAGGAAGGTACCTTCCCCCATGAACCTAACCTCAGCTCCACACCTGTTCAGCAGTCCCCAAAAGGTAGCTTTCCACTCCATTCCTCCGACCTTGGTTTATAGATATTTCACGGGGGCAGAGGTTAGCAAGCCCAGTTGGGAGCAGGCTTGCCTGGCAGTGGGAAGTTTTCAGGACTTAAAACATAGGGTACTTTGAGCCTTTTTTTCACTCCATGGACTGCAGTCACAATGCTGAAAAACAAAAGCAAAAGAAGAAGAAGGAGGAGGAAAAGAAGAAGAGGAAAGAGGAGGAGAAGAAGGAGAAGGAGAAGGAAGAGGAGAAGAAGAAGGAGGAGGAGGAGAAGAAGGAGGAGAAAAAGAAGAAACAATATATTATGACATTTGTCATACTCTTTAGAGCATACAAAAACCTTCACTTAAGTTATTTTATCAGATCTTCACTCAGTAATCGTTAAGCTGGGGTCCATATACCAGTGGGATCCCCAGTGATTTTCTAAGGAAAAAATACTAACAGAGAATGGTGTGGGGGCAATTTTCTGCCCTCACTTTCCTCTGGTCTCATCCTGTAACCAATCTGCTGAACATGCCCTTCAGAGAAAGTGTTATGATAGTCTTCCTTCTCATTTCTGCTGGTCCAGTTGCCACTTCACAAGAGAAAGGAATACATCCCACTATTCCAAACCTTACATTTAATTTTTAGTATAGATCAGCACGTGTATTTTATAACTCAAAAGGGATTCAAGGATCAACCTTGCTATTACAAAATGTCTTACAAGCCTATCAAGTTATTTTTGTGATGAAGAGTACTCAAGGCCTAAATCCACAAACATGGAAATGAGAATGCGTAGGCACTAACTCTATTCTTTCTGAAAGCTTCTTGCCCAAGTATAAATTACTGTGTGGTTATGGTGGTGGTCTAACGTGGCAGAAGGCCAAAGTGGAAACGCCTACCACTTCCTGCTTCTTCTTCAGCCCCAATTGCAACTCCTCTTTCTGTTTTCGTACAAAGAAAATTCTAGTCAGTTCCTCACACAACATCAATATCTCTGCCCCACGCGCCACTTCCGATCAGAAGTCATATAACCTTCTGCCTCTCTGTATCTGGTTGAAGGAGATAGTGCAACCAGCCTGGGTGCTCCCATTCATGTCCTCAGTAAGCCTGTTCTTATCTTTTTTTGTACTTTTTGCTTCTCTATTGCACCAGAAAACTCTAACATTTTGGTGCCTTGAGACTCAGATTGGCAGAGCACCTCAGCTCCTGGGAGTCACTCCCAGTTCGTGCTTCCTTGCCTATGAACCACCTTTCCTCCCTCCGGGACCTCTATTTTGCCACCGCTAATCTGCATGCAACACTGACCTTGCTATCCAAAGTTTTCTGTTTCTGTTCCTAATATTCACAAGCTTGCATCGGAAAACCTATCTGTTGCTGTGTCTGGACAGAGATAGCAGTTTTCACGTTCCTTGGACAGGACAGCCCAATGCAAAACTGTTACCCTCTTGTTCTCTGAGACCCCGCCCCACATTCTCAGCAACAGCCTATGAGAATGAGTGTTGGGACCTTCCCTGTCACACTTTCAAATCAGGTGCCAACTTCTTTTTATAGGTGTAATCCAGGACAGCTTTTGTGTTCCTTGAGGGGGGAGCTAAAGCTCTTATGTCCTGAGGCAAAGTTGTTCTCTCAGCTCACTTATAATTTGGTCATGGGGACCATTTCCTGCCCCCAAAAAACACACCTCTGGGATGCCTGGTTCTTGGTGCTCTTGGCCTCAAGAAGGCTATAAAAACCAAAAAGTTGATCTTTTATTTCTACCTTTTCACAACAGCAGCAAGTTGGCAGAAACCCCTCATTTCTAGGCCTTTTTCACTTTGAGGATGTGTCTTTCTCTCACTCTGTCTTCCATGATGGCCCAAATACTTCTGGCTCGCTCTGCTCCACCAGGAGCTCTCCCTCCATCCCACCAGACCCCTCAGATAATGTGCCTCCTGTCTTTACTCCCTTCTCCCATATCTCCAAGCCCAAACCCTGCAGCTTTCTCAACCAGAGGTTTCTGAGCCCCTATGCCCCTCCCCCTTCCTCACCCCCACTGGCCTCTAATCCTTCCCTTAGTCTGTCTCCCATCTCAGATATCTCAATCCCCTGTACCTGAGTGACCTATTCTGTCAGCCTGCTCTTGCATCACCATTTTCCCTGCTGGCTCACCATACTCAGTCTCACGCATTTCAGCCACCTAGCAGGCCACTTGGTATTTGATCACCATCTTGCGATTCCATACCACATGGTCTTTAGCAGCCATCTTGCTTCAGCTCACATGGAGAAGAGCCGACATCTTGTAGTCCTCCACCATGTGACAGTGAGCCACCATCTTGTAACAGGTCACGGGGTAAATGGCCACTATCTTGTGGTCCCTCATCATGGAATCAGCAGCAGCCAACTTGTTGCAGGTCACATGATGACCAGTCACCGTCTTGTGCTCTCTCACCATGTAACCCACAGTAGCCATCTTGTTGTGGGTCTCCTTGGTAACCAGTCACCATCTTGTGCTTCCCTGTCACATGGTGACAAGTGGTCATCTTGGGGTTGATCATCCAGTAACTGCCCACAAATGCCTGCTGGGTGGTTGGCTACTCAGTGACCATCTACACCTCCCACTCCACAGCCTTCTCAGCTTCAATCTCTATTCCCGCTTTGGGAACAGGCTGGTCCCAAGGGACTAGTTCATATTCATTTTTCCTGTTTCAGAGTAACCATAAATTAGGTTCCTTTTCTGCTGTTCTTATTTCAAGAGACCTCTATCAATTAACCTACAAAAAGGTTTGCACCAGTCCATTTATTATAGTTCAAATTGGCCAAATATATTTGAGTGTACTCTGATTTTGTAAGATGTTTGTCAGTCTATATATCTGTTGTCTGTTTGTCCAATCTATTTATACTGTGCATATCATCTGTCCATTTGTCTGCTCTGTAAACAACTGTTCCTCTTTATTTGAGCTCAACAATCTTCTCTCTTTAACTTTTTTTGCATTTTCAGATCATTTAACCAAGGTTTATTTGGGTTATAAATTTAAAAAGCATACTTCTACCTAGGTTTCCAGCTGATGCTAAAACTGGTTAAACAAAATCCCTTGGGGTGAGGAGAGATTGGACAAGACTTCAACTGATGGATAAGAAAGCAGTCACCTAGTGACTTTAACCAGTTCTTATTCATTAATCAGAAGCCCCAATAATCTCCATAGCCTTATGGGAGACACCCCAACTAAAGTTCATATGACTAAGACAATTCATTGTTGCTGATCTTATGGTATATTCATGCTTTCAGATATAAAATTGGGATTGTTTATGATGATAAACATTTTCTTTCAGATCCAGACATCTGCCTTTTTCTTGTGCTCCAGCCAGGAGATTCAAGTCAAATCAACATGATGTCACCAGTCAAATGATAATTTTTAAACAAAAATTTATGCAATGTATATCTTATACTTTAAGATGCTTAAATATTGAGCAATCCAAACAATGGTGCAAATTTCTTCAATGCTCAAATGTTAAAATACCCATGGTTAATTAAAAATAGCAGTTCCATTTAATGTTCTATGTTAAGCTTACTGCCTGTAATACACTGTATTTTATCAGTCTTTTTTCTGGACAACTAGAATTTATAGATAATTATAAATTCCTTTTTGGTTCCTTTTACTGGGATCCACCGGATCTTTTGCAGAAAAAGTTTTTATAAATATATTGAGGCCATAATTAACTCTACTCACCTGGCGTTAAATGACACTGCAGCTAATCTCTCTCCTAAATAAAAAAGGTAAAATTAATGGAACAGGCCATACCCCAAACTCAGATGGTATTAGACATTCTAACAGCACAAAAGGTACTCATACAATTATAAAACCTAAATGTGTATATGACAAATCAATGACATGTCAGTTTCTAAAATTCCCTGGACCTTATCTTTATCCTCTTTATGGAAAGCCATTACTAAAACTATATTCATAAATATTCTATTGATTCTATTATTTGGCCTCTGCATACTTAATTGATCTTTGCCTTTGTCTCCTCTAGACTTAAAGCTGTATGCCTGCCCAAAATGAAAAATACCTGGTATCTACTGAGAGCCACTAGTTAAAAGCTCTGCAGGGTATCCCTGACTGCCATTCAACAACTTAACCCCCCCCCCAGCCTGAATAAGCCAGATCAATCATTGCCCATTACCCCTTATGGCAGTTTGGGTTACTTCTTCAGAGGGAAAAATGGTACAGGCAGCTAAGACAATTATAGGCAGGTTTGGCTTGAACCTCAAAGGAACCAGCATACACGACCAGATATTTTTTGAGACAAGAGAGATGCCCAAGCCCTGCTCCAACCATGCTGCAAGTGCAACAAAAAGGATACCAGGCAAGAGAATGCCCCTTCTGCATTCTCAAGGGTCACTGAAAGGGTGACTGTCCTAGCTACCAGAGAGCAGATAAGCCATTCTCTAATTCCTTGCCCTCCCAGAAGATCTTGTCACCATTGGATTTGTCACTGGCTGATCTACTTGGATTTGCTGCAGAAGGCTGATGGGGCTCAGGGCCCAGCCCCCAGTAAGGTATCCTTCTCAGAGCCTCAATCTCACTGGAGGTCTCGGGTAAGACATTCTCTGCACTTGTAGACACAGAGGCCATGTATAGTGTCCTTCCTGAGTTTTTAGACCATTATATTAAATCCTTAGTCTCTGTAGTGGAGTTGACAGCCAACCTACACAGCCTCTACAAACAGCCCATTTCATGCAGTTTCCAAACTCTCCTCTTCACCCATAGCTTTCTGGCAATACCAACATGTCCCGCACCCCTTTTAGGTAGGGATCTCCACCAAAAACTTCAATTTTTCTTTACCTTCTTCCTCTCCACATTTCTCATCCTCCAAACACTCTCACAGTGCACTGCAAAGCCATCTCCTCCCCTCCCTTCTTCTCTGGTTGATCTCATAGTTTGAGATATCTTCAACCCCACCTGCACTACCCATGCTATACCTATTTTAATTCATCTAGGGGATCCTTCCATTTTTCCTTGAGTTCCCCAACATCTTATAACTTCCAAACATTACAGGGACTTAAACCTATAATAAAGCATCTTTTAGACAATGGTTTTCTTAAACCTACCATTCACCCTACAATACTCCCATTCTCCCAGGAGTCAAGCCTAATGGGTCCTATTGTCTGGTACAAGACCTTAGTGTAACCAATGATGCTGTTACCCCCAATTCACCCAGTGGTGCAAAACCCTTGTACTATGTTCTCTCATATTCCTCCCTCCACCACTCATTCCATAGTCCTAAACCTTAAAGAGATCTTTTTTACCACCCGCCTACACCCTGATTGTCCAGATTCATTTGTGTTTGTGTAGACTGACCAGACACTCGCAGGTCCCAACTTACATCTGTCATCTCGTGTTAGAACCTCTCCTTAGGGACACATACCCCCTTCCTTTCCTACTCATCAATTTCATGGACACATCCCTGGTCAGGACTGACAGATAAATTTTACACACATGCCCTGCCACAAAACTTTTAATTATCTTCTCACCTTTGCCTGTACTTTTTCAGGATAAAAGCCCTTCCCAAAACCAGGGAGACTGCTGATATAGTTACTAAAGTCCTGTTACAAGAAATCATTCCAAGGTTTGGTTTACCTCAGAGTATCCAGTCAGATAATAGACCAGCCTTTATTTCTCAGATCCCTCAACAAGACTACAACTAAAGTGGAGTGGTTCTACTTGGTCTTCCTCGAAATTTCAATGGTGGTCAATGTTGCTGGACTGTCACATCTCTCAAGCTAAGCGGTGCCCTCCTAAACCTCACTCCCCTGACTGTAAACATACTGAGTGGTCATCTCATCTCCTATCTCTCATCTCCATCTCACCAAGGGCCCACAGTCACAGCTTTCAGGCTAGGTCATGTTTTGCTGTCCTATTTGGTTCCTAATCCCTTACATTCTAAATATGAGACCCTTCTGGGTCTAGGATCTCCTCTCCTAGTGACACAGCCACAGCCCTCCCCACCCTTAATTTATAACTTCCCAAACATGATTCAACTGTCAGGCCTTACATTTCTCATGTTTCCCATCCTCTGCAGCTCAACTCCTGGACCAAGGACAAGTCCACTCACACTTTTACTTTAACCCTTTCAGATGGAGGAATGATTGCCTCCCATAACTTCACCCCTCCCAATTCCATGCTTATTTTTCATATTCTTTCTCACCAAAGTCCTGATAGAAAGACACATTTGGATCAAGGGCACATTTCCTTCTACCTCTCTGGGGTCCTTTCATTATGATAGTGATCTGCCTCCTCATAGCACCTTGTGTTTTTATTTCTCCAATCTAGGATGCAAGTGTTCACCAATGATTAATTCCTTGTCCTGGCTGAAACACCTGGTACCAGCTTCTACATGGGCATCAACTGTCATCTCATCAGCCCCTCTAAACCCCAACACAATGTCCCTGTTCAGCAGGAAGTAGTAAGAGACAGTCTTTGCCCTTTTCCTAACAATACAAAGACAGGAATGAAAGGTTCCTGCCCTAGTATAAATTACTGTATGGTTAACGTGGCGAAAGGCCAAAATGGGAACACCTACCACTTCCTGCTTCTTCTTCAGCCCTAATTGCAACTCCCCTTCCTGTTTTCAGGCACAGAGAATTCCAATCAGCTCTTCACACATCATCAATATTCGTCCCACGTGCCACTTCCCATCAGAGGTTATATAACCCTCTGCCCCTCTGTATCTGGTCGAAGGAGATAGCGCAAATGCCCTGGGTTGTGGGCTCCTTTCCACATCCTCAATAAACCTGTTCTTATCTTTTTTGTACTTTTTGCTTCTCCACTGCACCAGAAAACTCTAACACTCTCCATGTTAGTCACTGTCCTCATCACTGGAACAAAGTTTATCTGACACCTGCAACTTAAAAGTGGAAATGTTTATTTTGGCTCACATTTTAGAAGTTTCATTCCTTGCATGATTGGCAGCATGGTGAAAGGGCCAGGACAGAAGAAAGCTGATTACCTCATTGTGGACTGGAAGTGAAGAGAGCATCAAGGGAGAAGGTAGATAATCCCTTCCGGCTGTCAGATTGGATTCCCGTCCCCAAACAGCAAGTCAGCTAGTCACCTGTCAAAAGTCCGCCTATGACTGCAGGAGGCTTTGGGGAGACATCTAGTTATAAACCAAACCACATCCCAGCAACAAAAAAATTCTCCTAATGTACATATTTTTGTAACATTAAGGAAGATATTTCTAGCAACTGGAATTTATTTGTTTCATTTTGTTATTAAAATATGTACTATATATTGCTTTGGTCATTTGTGTGCTGACTAGTAAATCTAATAATAACAATTAAAAACAAATGTTTGAAATGGGCATTATGATAACAGGGAGTAAAATTTTTTATCTTAACTCACAGTCATATTTGTCTCAGGGAAATATGTGACACTTTTAGAGCAGCTACCAACAATGCAAGGACTGACACTTCAGCTGCCTGTCCAGCACCCACGCACACTCCTCCGTGGGTCCCAGGCAGAGCTTTCCTTCCATAATACACCCTTACATTCTCAGCCACCTTGCAACCAGAGCATGTGATCTGTGTCTGGCCAGAGGGATGATCTGAAAAAACAGGAATTTCTGGGAAAGATTCGCCTCCTTGAAAAGAAGGGGGAAAAAATTCCTTTTTCCTTCTTGCATTTGATAGGTGAGACGATATGAGACTTGGAACTGTGGAAGGCACCTTACAACTATGAAGGAAAATCCAAGAGATCGGAAGGCAAAGGAAAGGCAGCACCTTGACAACACTGAGCTACCGAGCAAGCCCTGGAAGCACCTCCCTTGATATTCCTTACAAGAGAAAAGACCAAAGTCTTAATGTTCAACTTACTTTGAGTCAGGAATTACTTAGTTTTCAGCCAAAACAAATTCTGAAACAGCTGCATACTATATCCTTAATCACGCTAAAGATTTGGATCTAAAGAACCTGGAGTGGGAGCACAGCATTTTTAAGTCTTTTCTTGACAAATCATTTGAGAATGGGCTGGAAAACAGAGAGGATGAAGAGAAGTTCCAGTTGCAATGATTTGTAACTATAACCCCAACCTTCAACTATACAACTTTCTCAACAATTGTCTGTATTCTATAACAATGAGGGAGATACTTGTTTTTGTTTTTGTTTTGGTACCAGGGATCGAACTCATGACCTCCCACTTGCCAGGCAGGCACCTGTGCTGCTGAGCTATATTCCTGGCTCAGGATACTTCTTAGTACTGTAATCATATTAAACATATTGTGCCAAACAGTCCAATCTATTGGTAAGTGGTCTTGGGCAAGTGGAGGGAGGCTGTGGGACTGCTCTGTAGCACTCAACACGAGGCTTGCAAGATGCTTCAGTCTTTGCCTTTATGCAGGTGGAGGGAAGAAGCAGGAAAGAAACTACCCCTCACTTTCTGTTATCTCAAGTCAATCACACAGCTGCAAAGGAGGCTGGGACTTGTAGTTTGGAGCTAGAAGCTGTATGCCTAGCTAAAATTCAAACAGGGCTACTACTGAAAGGAAGAAAGCAAAAACGTGTATTAAGGGAGATTTTAAGGGTAACCGTAAGTATAGTTTAAGGAAACTCTTGAGATATGGCATCAGATTTCCTTAAAATTATTCAGCTACTTCAAGAGTAAATCAAATGGTATTTTACTGAAAAACACCCATTTAAACAGCTCTTTGGTACCTCATTGTTATTATCACTGATTCCATGACACGCTTCTAAATGCAGAGCAGAT